TTAAAGAAGACTAACTCTCCCACACCTAGCAGTGATCAATTGCTGACCAGCTAAGGCTGGGGCTTCTTACCCATTTCCCCAAATCTAATATTGGGTTTTTGTTTGGGTTGAGTTTAAATGGGTCTTGTGCATGCTGTCGCCATTGCTGTAAATTCATATGATCAACTTCCCAGTCGCTGGAAAGCTGTTTCCTTGTGGCCATCCACCACCCCTGACTTACAGTCTTTCTGCCCTCTCATCCACAATGGTCCCTGAGCCTTGGGTGGCAGAGGTTTGATATATGCGCCCTACCCAGGGACAAGCACTCTATAGTCTCTTATTCTCTGCACTTTGGCCAGTTGTGGTTTTCTGGGTTAATCACCATCTGTTGCATGAGGAAGCGTCTCTGATGAGAGTTGACAGATGCATTAATATTTTTTCTGGCCCTGTTCTGCTAGGCTCCCTGAGCCTTAGGTGTACAGGCTGCATTGTAGATATGTCACATGGAGCTGGGCATCTTGAAGACACTTATTTTCTGCATTTGACCACTTGTAGAACTCTGTAACAGTCTCTGTTTGTTGCAAAAAAGAAGCTTCTTTGATGAGTGGTAAGAGGTATACTTCTTTGTAAATATATGGACACATATTTAACATACTGTAAAAAAATTATGTTTGTCTAGGGATGTGACAGACATAGGTTTTCTCTAGGATCTATGACCTCTCCAGCCATGTGTATTTGACTGTTTACAGTGCCACATGAGTTCCTTCCCATTGATCAGGTTTTAAGTCCAATTAGACAGCTGTTGATTACCCGAAGATAACAGGGCCACTATTGCACCAATAGAGAGAGTTTGCTGTGTCAGTCATTTTGGTGCTTATTAGGTTTTACAGCTGGTTTGGAACATTGACTGATTTTTTCCCTTAGTACTTCACACAGTATCCTCTGATACTATGCTAGCTAGTCTTCAGGGAGGAGGTTTCCAGTTCAGTTTCAGCTCAATTGCTCCAAGTCCTGTATCTCAAATATGTCCTGTCTTCAGCAATAGGGTCTTATCTTCAAGTTCTGAGAGTCAATCAAGGGCTCTGGTAACAGCCTGTGTTATTTTGGAAGTTTCTTGGACTATGCTGAGCAAAACCTTGAATTTTGCTTTTGACTTTTGAGCATTTGTAGGCCAAAGCCTTCCTCATGTATAACCTTGCTGTGGCAATGAACTAAAAAATATGTTTAAGCTGGGCATGATGGCTCATGCCTATAATTCCAATGGTTGGAAGGCTGAGGCAGGAGGATCATATGTTTGAGGCTAGCCTAGGCTATATAGGAAATCTGACATATAGCCTGGGCTATATATCAAGACCATATCTCTAAATAAATGAATAATTTCCCCAGAGTCACAAAAGTGCCAGTGGGCACGACTTCCAGGAGTTGAGTGCCCCTGTTTTCCACCTATTGATGAGTCATGGTCTTTACTTCTTTTTTCATCTGAAAAGGAAGTCTGACTGCTGTTAGGACTTTATAGAAACATTCTCTGAAATCAGTCTAGAATATGGTATGGTGCTCCTTGGGACTTCTTGAGCCTGACAGTCCTGGTATTCTACCCACACTGTCATCCATATGTGAGGAGAGGACTACAAGGTCATCCAGATGTGAGGGGAGGACTACAAGGTCATCCAGATGTGAGGGGAGGACTACAAGGTCAATTACAAACTTCACAGGTCCTTCTTGGTACTGGGAGAGGAGAGAGCAAATGAAACATGTCCTCCAGCCCAGGGGTGACTGTGTTTGGGATTGCTTTGCCAGAAGATTTGGATTGACCCACGAGACAAGATACTGGCACTCACAAGGGAACTGTGCCAGCCTCTGCCTTGTCCTCCACACGAACACATCTTTCATTATCAAAGCTGGCTTCTTGGGCACCAAAACTTGTCATTTCAACAATCTTTTCTATGACTCTTAAGACATGCTAATATACCTCAACAGAAATATATTCATATTTTTGAAAGTGCCTAGAGTTCATGGTGATATGTTCATATATATATGTTGATTTAGCCTCCCCCAATCCTAAAGGTGGACATTTTCAGATGAGGCAGCCCTTAGCTCCTAGAAAAGCCAAAGTCCTATAGCAGCTCAGAGAGAGGGGGCTGTGTGTCCTGATATCACATATCCAGGATGGGTTCCAGCTTGATTCCTGACAATCAGACACTGACACATTCAACAGCATGGCAGACTCCTTGGAAAGGAGAGCAATGCAATCATTCTAAATATAGCCACCAAAACAAGGGCAGAAGATTGCTGTGGTCTTCAGAGAAAGGCAGTGGCTCACTTCCTTCCGTAGACCATGCCCTTCCAACCACTTCTGTTTCTTGACACGACTAGTAACCAGGGAAGTTCTCCAATGCTTCTTCCTCTCCTTCCAGGCTAGGGTACTACTTTGTTTTCCTAGCAAAATCTTTCTTTTCCTGCCTCAGTCTTAGTCTTACCTGTCTGTGAAACATCAAGAGTCAAGGTAGAAACAGTCCCTCGCTTAGGCAGAAAATGTCTATGCTAACTTCTTACTCACACAAATACTTTTCTTGTTTAATTCTGTCCGCTGTCCAGCTATCCACTGAACTGTAGGCCTACTTTTTTTTTTTAATAGGCAGATCTTACAAAGCTATGGCATAACTTGTGATTTATTTGTTTTCTGGCAATGAAGACTTAAGGTTGGCTGATGTTCTAGCATCTAAATGCTTTTAGAGAGGCTGATCATTTGAGACAGGAAACAAGTATGTGGTCTGTCTTACTGGCATGTAAGATCTGTATGCATCCGGCCTTGAGCATAATGGAGGATGAATCCTATAAGCCTGTAAACTTCCAAACTCACAAATTAGAGTGTGGAGCTTTTCTGATGGCATGTAGTAACATGTAGTTCCAGGAGGGCTGTTGTACTAGCCCCCAATACCCAACCCAAGACAATCAGAGAATCAGAGGCCAGGCTCAGTGGGATGCACAGTGATGAAACTACTCCCAGCATCTCAGTCTGCAAAGATTAAATGTAGGCCTGGGGAAAACCATCCCCTCTCCATGCTATGGTCCTTTTGGGACCAAGAAGGCTTGTTACAGCCATAACTGGGTTTCTAACACTCCATCCCTTCCCACCAAGGCTGCACCATTGCTCTTCATGGGGATGCTGCCATGGGGACAGGTTACAACTGTGAATTCCTCTTTACAGGTTAAAATGACAAAACAGGAGTGTGCAAGATTGGATAAAGGTATTTGCTTACATGCCTAGCAATCTGAATTCAATCCATGGGATCCACAGTGGAAGGAGAAAACTGATTCCCCAAAGGTGTTCCCTGACCTCCAAGTGCAGACTGTTGCACACAGATGCCTATATTCATGCACACACACCATCCACATACACAACAAAGTAAAAGTTTTTAAAAACAAACAAAAAATAGCAATCAGTTGCCAACATTCCTTCAGATAAGATTGAGATCTGCTGTTCATTTTCCCAGTTCTATGCAGAGCATATGGGTTCCAGTGGGGAGGGGGGTTATGGGAGGGTGCCAGTGGAATGAGGGTATAAAGATAATTAAGATTGTTTGAGATGTTCTGTACAAAATACACAAAAAATTAAAAAAAAAACTCATGAAAATCAATCTTTTTCAAGGAAAAAAAAAATCCCCAAAATAAAGCACACACATATATTTCAGAAAAAAAGCAACAGTGCTAAAATGATGTCAAAAATTTATTCAGCTCTGAAAAAACAGAGGACTAGACCTGGACAAACAGAAAGATGACACTCACTGCTCACTCAAGCTTCAGCAGTGCGCTATCCCACAGGGAGAAAACACATACAAGACAACGTGCCTGTGGAACGCTTGAAATGCAGCTGGTCCACGAGATGAGCTGTTGGTGCAGAAAATGCACACCAGGCTGCCATGACACGTGAGGGCATGGGTGTTAAAATACCTTGGGGACCTTTTTGTATTCAGTATGTATTTTATTCTTATTTTAGATATATTGTGTTGAGCAAAATATTGGAATTAATGTTGCCTGTTTCTTTCTGCTGTTTGAAATGTGGATCCATGAAAATTTAAAATGACCTACATGGCTCCTATTTCTTTTGGGCAGCTGTGCTTTAGACAAAACTGAGTAACTTCTTCAAATGTTTTCTTCTGAAGAAAACTGAGTGTGCTGAAGGGTTAGCTTCAGGGGTTCTTTTTCATGTGTATGTGAGTTTATGTGTGTGTACATGTGTGAGTGTGTGTGTGAATGTGAGAACGTGTGTGTCTGTGTGTGTGTATGACGAGGTGTGACTATATACACGCATGACATATGTATGGGGGTCAGAGGACAACCTTGGGTACTGATCGACTCTTAAGCACCTTCTACCTCTTTTTTGAGACAGGGGCTCTCGCTGGCCTAGAATTTCACCACGTAGGCTGGGGAAGCCGGCCTGTGAACTTCTGGGAATCCACCAAAACCTCCCATCTTGCCATCACTGCAACTACAGGCACATCAACCATGGCTGGCTTTTTATACAGGTTCTGGTGACCTGAACTCAGGTCTTCAAACCTGCAAGTGCTTTATTGACTGAGCCATCTTCCCAAGCCTTCAGGTGGGCTGGCCAGTGGACTCTGAGGATACTGGGGTTACAGATATGCACTTGTGCTGGCTTTTACATGGGTGCTAGGGATCTAAACACAAGCCCTGTTGCTTCTACAAAGACACTTTATTGACTAAGCCATCTCCCAAGCCTCCAGGTGTTTTTTTGGAGTCACCCATGAGCTGGGTGGAGGGACTGGAAATCAACAAGGTGCCTCCAGCCACAGGTTTCCACTGGCTTGACCACTTCTGATCTTGGAAGACTGGCATCTTTTTCCTCAGGATAGTAGCTGTCCTCTAAAGTCTCCCACAAGTTTTTACTTATTTGACTTCAGAGTCCTGTGATTGTTTTTCAGTTGACCCAGGCACTGCTGGAATACATGCTGTATTTGTTTTTGACATTTCCAAATAATATAGAAAAAAAAACAACTTACAGGTTTTGAGATGGGGAGTCTGTCGCTGGAATGCACAGGTATTTAACTCCCTGCAGAATGATAAAATAAATACACAAATAAAACTTCAAAAGATGATACACAGCGGAGAAAAGTATTAAAAGGAACTATTAACTCAGGTCAAAACTTTAAAAAGTAAAAAGCAGAAGTGTTTGTTTTTTTTTTCATCTTTCGTTGACAAGGAACTGAGGAAAACTCTAATTCAGGTTCCCCGTTCTTCTCTATGACCACGCATGTCCGTGTTCAAGCTTTGGTGTGCAAGTGTCTTACATAATAGATTTAGAAAAATTCAAGGGATCAAAAAGTAAGAGTTGAACACTTCAGTGTCAAGTTTCACAACTGTCATCTCAGACGCATGTTCACTCATTTCATAGTCTCTCTGTTTCCTTCGGGATTCTGAACACCCCCAGAGAAGGACTGCTAGCCAATACCTTAAAACGTGGCTGGAAACTATGGTGTCAGTGACAGCACTTCATGTCAATTTTAGTGTCACAAGCATTACAATCATACCAATTCTACTTGCTTTGCAGAATAGTAAAAGCTTATATTACAAACTAATATATTTATTGAAAAAGCATGGACTAAGGTTTGGTGCGATGGTGCATACCTTTAATCCCAACACTCAGGGGGCATAGGCAGGTGGATCTCTGAGTTCAAGGCCAGCATGGTCTACATACTGAAATTCAGGCCACTCAGGGCTACACAGTGAGATCGTGTCTCAACTCCCCCACCCGTAAAAAAAATCATGGTCTAATTTGAGGGGAAAAAAATCCTTTCACCTAGTCCTGTTTAAAAATCTTTAAAAAAATTATGTGAGGCTATGATTCAAAAATCATGCTAAATGAGAGATTTAGAAAAGAAAGTTTGGTTTATTTATTTCTCTATTGGAAAAGATTGACATTATAACTTCTAAGGGTCTTCAATGTCAAAGAAAAACAGAAGATACGAATCTCAATACCCTTGACAATAGAATGTGGTTTTGTAAGGGGTTAGATAAAACATTTTTAAAACCTCCTCCTAAAATTGCCATGTGTCACAGACTGTTGTCAGTAGGTCTTAGATGATAAGGGGAGAAACACCAGAAACCAGCAGAAGGACTTGAAATCTTTTTGTAACTTTTCATTCAGCTTTTATTGTTAACTGCTATGACCTGGAATTTTCGTGCCACATTTGCCTGGGGGTATCTTCCAGATCCATACTCCGGCAGCTCCTCACAGTGCAAGTCCTACTTTTTAGCACAGAACTCCAAACCTTTTCCCTACCCATCCTGTTGCTTGGGGCGCAGGCTCAGGACCAGTCTTTGTTGTTCTGGTAAGCTTACAGAAGGCAGATTCAGAACTAGTACGAGGGACAAGGCCGATGGGGGGGGGGTGGCAGCTCACACTTTGCTGGTGCAGGTGTTGGCCAAATGGACCAGTTTGTCCTGGAATTTCAGCAGGGAGCCTGTTTCTCTAGTTCTTCTGAGCAAAACATTAGCTTTCAACTCTGTTTTTCAACTGTCTAATCCAACCCTTCCTGGTGAAACTGACTCAGATTAGGATCTGTTGTCTGCAACTAAATACCTAAGTGCTACAATTCCTTTCCTTCCCACCTGCCATAATTAGGATAAAAACAAAAACTAATTTTCCCCTCACAATTACTGTGTATTTTTACCAACTTTTAAAAATTTTATTTTTATTTTATGAGTGTATTGCCTGAATGTGTGTAAGTGCACCAATGTAGTGCAATGCTCAAGGAGGTTGGAAAAGGGCATTGGATTCCCCTGGAACTGGAGTTACAGATAGTTGTTAGCTGCCATGTGGGTGCTGGGAAGCAAACCCAGGTCCTCTGTAAGAGCAGCCAGTGTTCTTAACTGCTGAGTCAACTCTCCAGTCCCTTATCAATTTTTCAAAATATTTTTATTTTTTTATGTGTATGAGTATATTGCCTGCATGTGTGTAAGTGCACCCATGTCATACAATGTCTGAGGAGGTCAGAAGAGGGCATCAGATCCCCTGGAACTGGAGTTATGGATGGTTGTTAGCCATCGTGTGGGTGCTGTGAATGGAAACCGGGTCCTCTACAAGAGCAGCCAGTGCTCTTAGCCACTGAGCCATCTGTTCAGCCCCACTAACTTTTTTTTAATGGAGTTACGCCACACAGGGTGATAACGTTCCCCCCAAGAGCCACAGATTATCTAGCAAAATCTCCAGTACCAAGGATGGGAAGTTGCCCTTCAAATTGTTGGTGGGGGTCCAAGAGACTCTCAAAATAGCATAGGCTATTGCCACTGCCCTGGCCCTTGGCTGCCTCCTAGAAACTGAATGTTAGACCCGTGCTCAAGACACTATACATTCTGGATATAGGACCTGGAGGAATCAAACTGAAACTGACCTGGAAGCCTCCTCCCTGAGGACTAGCTCTCATAGTATGGGAAGGTGTTATATACGCTGCAGGGCAGAGAAGCAAACAATAGTCCTACCCAGCTGTAAAGCCTACAAACCACAACAATAAGTGGCCCAACAAGATAGCCCCAAAGGTGAACTATTATCATGGGGATAACTAATAACTGTCTAATTGGACTTAAGGCCCACTCAATCAGAGGGAATTCATGCCTGGTACTATAAACCTAGCCAACTACCATGGCTAGAGTTTTACAGACTCTACAGGAGAACCTACTACTGTCATTTTCCTAAACCAATATAATTTCTAACTGTATTCTAAATACAGATCCTTATACCCACAGATAAGCAGCTCTTACGCCTCATCAAAGCAGCTTCTTTTTGCAGCAGTCAGAGACTATCCTAGAGATCTGCACAGGTCAAAATGTAGAGAATAAGTGACTGTGGAGAGCCCAACCCCACTGGTACATCCACAATATAATCCCTACATCTAAGGATGAGGAACATCACGGAAGAGGGGCGGAAAGATTGTAAGAGCCAGAAGATCGGGATACATGCTGCTAGATAGACATGACAGGGAAGCCTGCAGCCACGAAATCTCAACAGCAAGTTTGCCTAAACACCTGCATAACACCAGCAGGCATGCCAACCCTGAGAGCAGAGGTTTCACAAGCCTCCCTCCAAATGAAGGGCTACAGGCAATCAGTGGCTGCAGAGACAGGGAGAACCCTTCTTCTCTGGGAATGAGCTCCCCGATGGGTTATCTAATCCCAACTGGTCAGACCTAAACACATGTACATAAGAGCAACACTAAGAGGGTGCCACAGGTTATATACCGCATCTGTGCATACGTGTGTGTGTGTGTGTGTGTGTGTGTGTGTAACAATAATACTATTGGAAGATTTGGAGGTGGGAGAGAGGTGGGTAGAAATGATGTAAGCACAGTACTCATGTATAAAATTCTCAAAAAGTAAATAAAAAATAAAATTATTTAATAATAATTTGATAACAATCAAATCATTCCAAATCATATAGTCAGTTTCAGCATCTTTCAGTAAAGGCTCCTTGGGGTCTTGGAGAAGATGAGTTTTAGATCCAAATGGGAACATTTCACCAGAGAGCAAATGGACTCCTGTACTTTCTGTCTCTGTCTTCGGGTTTCCTGGACTCCAGGAGTTGTGCTGTGCTGGGAACACTGACCAGTTATTTCAAATTTCTAAAGCTCTTCCAATGCTCAAGGAGTGATTTAAAGAGCAAGATGCTGGAAAAGGAAATACTACTGCCCCAAACAAACAGGTCATCCTCCTCCTTTCCTCCACTAGGCTGAACAAGCCTGTCCTCTAACACATACGTGGATTGCTTCCTATGCTGCCATGGGAGTGACTCACTCTTTTCCTTGACTCTTCAGTGAAAGCTGGCAGTTGCCCAGGCCCAGGAGCTTGTGAAATCCTCCTCCCACACACTTCCTCCACCCTCACATCAGGCCATACTTCCAGAGGGACAGAGGATTCTCAGATATGCAACTCCAAGTATGCAACTCCAATCAGCACAAGGGGATTAAGTGGTCCCCTTTAGGATAGGACAGAAATGCCTATCTCTCCCACATAGTGATGGAGAGCCACTTTATTCTAATAGAATCTAAACTCAGCCTAGCCTGTGTACTGGGAGGATAAACAAAAAATGGAGAAAATGAAGAGAAGGGACAGAGGTTAGGTCAGATAGCACTTCGCCCAACGAGAGGCTTGAAAGCTCATGGCACTGTGAGTGGGAAGTGGGAGGGATCTTCCATGTGAGCCACAGGATAAGGATGCAGCACACTGCCAGGGCAGGCCTCTCTCCCTCATAGCTCAGGTGGACAACTGGAGGCTTTGGCTTCCTATCTGTGCAAACTCTTTTTGGAGACAGGGTCTCACTATGTAGCCTTGACTAGCCTGGGACTCCCTATGTAGACCATGTTGGCCTCCAACTCACAGAGATCCACCTGCCTTTGCCCCGCAAGGTGCTGGGATTAAAGACATGCGCCACCACGCCCAGCCAGCCTAATCTGTGCAACTTCTAAAGATGAGCATGTGGCTCTCAACTGCAAGTTTGGGTACCCCGTGTTATTAAAGCAAGACAGAGAAAAAAACAAGAAGATGTATCATCAGACTGAATCACAACAGCGATTAACTTCCTGGATGATGCCCGGCTTGCAGTAGGCCTTCACTCAAAGTCTGAGTGCTGAGAACTGGTGAAAACCAGCTCCCATACAGACCACAGCATTAGTGCAGCACGGGGAGCAATGCAGGTAGGTGCCCAACAGGAAGGAAGAAAGCTGGGTTTTAAGCCATGCAAAGGGCGTGCTGTCTACACATGCTCCAGTGACACTTGAACAGGACACAAACCACTTCACCATGATCTACAATAAGATGTATGCAAATTCAGCCATGGAAGGAGTCAAAACTGCCCAACAGGCTCAGTGGCTCGTCCCCAAGAGCATCTATTTATCTTGACTTAGTCATTAACAAAGCACAGATCTTTTTGAGGCCACAGAAGGCAGAACTAGAGCTATCTAAAAAAGGCGTCAGATGCTGCACATGTGCACAGGTTCTAACAGTTAGTTACTAATTCAGAAAGCAGCACACAGACCCCGGGGCCACCAGAAAGCTGGT